TCTGAAAGTAAGAGATAAATTGCATTCCAGGTATCTTGGAATTCAATGAGGACTAAAAAAAGAAAAAATAGAAGACGATCTTGGGAGATCGGAGATCCTAACTGTAATTAATACACCACGGGACTTGAATCTTTAATTAAAGGTTTCCCAAGAGTACCAGAAGTTTGAGGCAAACTTTGGTAAGACTTAATAGGCAAAATATATTGTGTCAGAAGGCCTGAATCCATAATGACGTTCAGAGGTTCACCACAAACAGGTCTATTTGGATTTGCCTCTGTCTGAAGTGAAGGTCTAGTTAATATTCTGATCCCAGATGTGAAACTAAAAAAGAAGGAAGGGAAATCTATCTATCTATCTATCTCTGCATTGTTTCCAAGAAAACTACTGTACATGGACATGCCGATGTAGTTCCCAGAAGACAAGCTCATAGTGAATATGCGGCCTACTAATCCCAACCCAACATTTATTCTCTGACAACCAACTTCTGAGTTGCAATCCACATTCAGGACAGCCGGATGTCCTTTGTCCCATACCAAACCAGCCACTCTCTTACAGGGTTGTTGTGCAGAGAAATTGGAGGAGGGAATCCAAAGTATACTGGCTTAAGCTCCTGGAAAAAGGATTGATATAAATCTAACAAATAAATAACCCCTTCCCCTCCTTCTTTTCTTTCAAGGCATTCTCTGTAAGTGCCAGTGAGATATTTGGTGCCAGATAGCACTGACAGAGGACCTGGCCTTTTCTTCATTGCATCATTCTCTCAGCACTAGGATCAACCATGGCCCTAATCATTTTCCCCCAGAGTTTATTAACATTGTCCTCTGAAAAGAGTGCAGGATGATGAAAAGTTTGAATAAATGTCTGCAAACCAGAACCCCGTCCCCCATGACTTTAATTCACAGACTCCTATAGAAAAGTAGTTCTCATTTAGCAACCACAATAGGGACCGGCAACTTAGTCATTAACCGAAGCAATCACTAAGTGCAACTTCAACTACGCTTATGATCTGACTTCAGCTTTTGTTTAGTTTACAGACCTGTGCGGCCGTAAATGCAAGGATAGGTTGTAAAGTTACTTTTTCATCACTGTCATAACTGCAAAAGGTCACTAAAAGGGAAGTTGCTAAACGAGGACTACCTGTATGAGCTCTTTTTAAAACTTGAGAATGCCTTTAGCAATCCCAAAGGTGCCCCTTCATCAGACAAGGCTGCCTCAACTCGTTCCAGCCCACATGTCAAAGAGTGTTATGCTGCTCCTTCATGTCCGGGAGAAGAACTGATTTTTCCTGCTTATACCATCCTAGAACCAAAGCATGTTAAGCTTTATGAGTAGTTGCTCAGAGAAGAGGCACAAGACTGCTGTCCACTGCCAGTCAGCATCATCTAAATAATCTCTTCCTCGCACACACACCGCCCAGTTAAGAGGCGAATACATTTTGTCTGCTACCCAGGAGGGCAATGAAAGTTAGAATATCATAATTAACCCAGCAAGACTGTACGTGGCTATGTTGCTCTAAGAACCCTGGAAAAGAAGGCTGCATATCAGAAGCTGCGGATGCTGATGATGACTTTGTCTTGGCAACCCCGGCTTTGAGGGAAAGGTTATCAACATCCTGTCTCAGTGCCTGGAAGCTGTAAGGGTCTGGATGGGAAAGAACAGGCTGAAATGAACCGCCGAGTAAGACAGAACGGTGGTTTGTACATTGGGGTTCTCTCCCAACACCAGTGTAAGCACAAGCATTGCTCGTGAAGGAAGAAGTGTGCCAATTTCAATGTTACCCAGTGCAAGAGGACCTACCTACAGTAACTCACACTCTCGTCGCCATCTGGTTGGGCTACTGCAACACACGCTTCATGGGGCTGCCCTAAAAGACTACTCACAACTGTGACTAGTTCCAAACACAGAGCACCACCAGCTCTTGGGGCTGGGAACATACAACACAATCCTGCAGAACCTGCAGTGGGTGCCAATGGCTTTCTAGGCACAATTTAAGGTGCTGATGTTGACCAATAAGCCTTATATGGTTTGGCACCTGGATATCTGCAGAAGCAACTGCTCTACTTAGAATCAACCCAACACAGTGGATCCTAGTTTTGGTCTCTCACTTCTGAGAGGGTCGAGGAGGCCAAACCAGAAGATGTTGCTTTTCCATGGCAGCCCTGATGTTTTGGAATAGCCTTCTGATGGAGATGAAGCAGGCCTCCTTGCTGACCTTCAGGAAGATGTTGAAAATGAGTTGTTTCAGAAGATGTTCTCCTATTTTAGGAACTGCCCCATTTCTTATTTCTGTGCTTGTTTTTGTCTTCCCATGTGTTGTTATTGTTGTTTTTATTTCTGAGGTGTTATAGTGTCTTTTAGTTACCCCACAGATACTTTAAATACCTTGTTATATTATATAGTGTGGAAGCCATCAAGAGCTGTTAGATTCTAGTGGGATATGTGTCAAACAAGCAATTTTAAAAAGCAACTGGCCCAATTGTAAATAGCCATAATTTAAATAAAGAAATCAATGTTACATCAAAATATATCAAAATATATTAATACATTAAAATACAACTTTTGGACAACTGCTACAATTCCCAAATAATGTGGCTTTTTGTCCAATGGCTTCAAACTGAAGATTGAGTTCAGCACCCAAAGTCATTGATTCAATTTGGTTTTCAGAAAAACAAATTATTCTCTTCTTTCAGCCTTCCCTTAGGTCTATTATCTCTGCCCCTTCCCTCTCTCTTGCCTATGAATGGACAGACCCAATCCATCTTCAAGCCAACATAGGATCCTAGTTTTGAGCTTTTGCTACCAACTGTTTGCATCACAGTCTTCATTCGGTTAGCTTGTTAATGTCACAAAGGGATGAAACATGACCTCCTGAATTTCCCACCTATTATAACATCTTACAGATTCATTGCACCTTAGCAGGCTGTTGTTGGTTTCCTTCTTCTACCACTACTTACAAAACTACGACATCTTATCTGGTTGATCATTACCACTCTTTCCACTGAATTCTCTCCTTCCATGTACTGGCTTTTTTTTTCCTACACAAGCAAGAAGGCCAACTCCTCTCCTTGCAAAGATCTTTTCCTAGTTCCAGAGTTTCTTAATGGAGCTCTTTACCTCTTCGTTCCTCAGGGTGTAGATCACAGGATTCAGAGCAGGAGTTACCATGGTGTAGAGGACAGCAGCCAGTTTGTCTGTTGAGAAGCTGGAAGTAGGGCGGGTGTAGATGAAAATGCAGTGCCCCAGGAACAAGACTACAACCAGTAAGTGGGCAGTGCATGTGGAGAAGGCTTTGTGGCGACCCTCAGCTGTCTGCCCTCTCAGTGAGATAAGGATGATGACATAGGAAGCTACTAAGGCCAAGAAGCAAACTAGGGACATAAGACCACTGTTGGATATTATAAGAACACCAGTGAAATATGTGTCAGTGCAAGCTAATTTCATGAGTGGAGGAATATCACAGAAAAAGCTGTCTATGACATTAGGCCCACAATAAGGCAGATGAATGGTGAGGACAGTCTGGACCAGGGAGTGAATAGTTGCCCCCACCCACAAGGCACCGACCAAGCATGCACAGATCTTCATGTTCACCAGGCTCATATACTGTAAAGGGTAGCAGATGGCAACACAACGGTCATACCCCATGACTGTCAGAAGGAAGATTTCAGCAGAAGCACACAGGTGAAGGAAAAAGAGTTGAGTTACACAGCCCCCAAAGGAGATGATCTTCTGGTGGAAGAGGCAGTCAAAGAGCATCTTGGGCATTGTGACAGAGGAATGGCAGATGTCAATGAAAGAGAGGTTTCCCAGGAAGAAGTACATGGGGGTGTGGAGGCACCGATTGCAAGTCACCGTCACTATAATGAGGAGATTCCCTGCTAGGATAAGTAAATAGAGGATGAAGAAAATGACTAATAAAACCAGCTCCAGGCTCCGGTTACTGGTCAGTCCCAAGAACACAAAATGGGTCACTGTCTGGTTGAGCCCTTCCATTGTGATGGGGCAGAAAGAGGTCTACACATTCAACCTAAACAGAGAAAAGATTATAATCTCCTTCTACAATCTCAAAATTGGTATATGGACAATATTTATTTATTTATTTATTTATTTATTTATTTATTTATTTATTTATCATATTTATATATCGTGTTTGTTTGCATATAAACCCTTC